ATTAGATTAATTAAAACATAGAGATCTTTTGTTTGACCCTTTGTGGTCCATTGGATTGACCCTTCGTGGTCCATTGGTTTAACCCTTTGTGGTCCATCGGCTTGACCTTTATGGTCCATTGTTATTGGAATATTATCACTTCATGGATGTGCCACTTAATTTAATATTGACAGATATCGATAATGAAATTTATTGGTTAATGAGAATTGATTATTCAGATCTGGTTTGGCAACGTTATCGAACTTCATTCATATAGCCTCTTTATTCTGTTATTGCTCGCTGGGCCCTGGCTCACTAATTATTTATATGTATGTAGATGGGCAAGTTAAACATTAGAGTTAAGAAAGCCTCGAGTCTACCTATGCCAGCCTTTTGGGAAGCTTCCAAGCGAAGTGAACCAGTCTCTGTTGGAGCCATGCTAGTTAAACCCCTTTTTGTTTGTTCAATGGTTTTATATTTATGTATAATTGGGGTTTGTATAACTATAAGACATGAATGTTTGTACAAATGTGATGAATGTACTTTTGGAATGAATCTTGCCTTATAATATGAAGTTCTTTTCATATACACACGGCTCAATGGATAAATGTAATGTTAACTTATACTTCCACTAAGCCCCGTACCTTATATTAAATGGCTCTATTTGTATGGAGGCCGTAGGTAATCTATGATTACAGGCCGGTCATGACGCTAAACCTGTAGGGGCAGGTTTGGGTTGTGACAGTTGTCTTCAAAGCATTTGGCTTCAATGTTTATCTTCTCAAACCCCAACTCTGTTGTCCCAACTTCCTTAACAACATGGCATCACCTAGAGCCAATAGCCAACTTTCTAAGTGACTTTGCTAGGATTTATAGTCACAAGTCAGACATTAGCATCCTTGATTGAAGTTCATGACTTTGGCTATATGCCTAGCGCAGTTAAACTTCGCACGGTTACTCGTTGAAACAACACTTTAACTTATTTAGCTCTGTGTTCTTGACAAGCCTATGTTAAACGCACAGTTCCTCTTTGGAACATCACTTTAACTTAGTTCTGCCCTATCTTCCCGACAAGCCTAAGTTAAATGCATAGTTCCTTGTTAGAACATCACTTTAACTTAGTTCAACTCTGCCTTCCTGACAATCCTAAGTTAAATGCACAGTTCCCCATTGGAATATCACTTTAACTTAGTTCAGTTCTAATTTCTTGGCAAGCCTAGGTTAACTCACTCGGGGGTCGTTCCCCACTTAAGGGTCATTCCGTTCGATCAAGAGTCGCTTCCTTCGATTTCATTTCAATGGTCATTCCCTTTGATTTATTATTAACTTTAGCTAAGGTTATTGACATCATTAGAATCGAGCTCCAAATTTTGTCAAGCCACATTCCAAGGCCTCGATAATCTTTTACCATCAAGATTTTCTAATCTTGGGTAGGCTTTGTTTTTATCTCAACTATATTCACCTCAAGTAAGCTCTGATCTTCTCAAAATTGCTTAGCTAGGTCAAACTTTTTTCATCTTGGATATGCTAATCTACGCTGAGGCCTTCTCCTCTTGAATTGGCACACATAGGTTGAGGTCTTTTTTTTTTTTTTTTTTTTTTTTACCTAGGTTCCCCTTTTCACTTCTTGGACATGCTTACCTAGGGCAAGGTCTTTTGTTCTAGGACTTACTCATCCAGGCCAAGGTCTTACCTTCTTGGATCCGTTCACCTAGGGTGAGTTCGTTCATCTATCATCTACTTACCTAGGCTGGTATATTCCCTTCTTGGACCTACTCATCTAGGCTGTGGTCTTGTCTTCTTAGATCTGCTCACCTAGAGTGAGTTCGTTCTTTTGGGATTTGCTCACTTGGGCCAAGCTCTTCTCTTCTCGGACCTACTCATCTTGACTGAGGTCTGGTCTTCCTGTATCTACCTACCTAGGCTAAGCTCATTCATCTAGGAGCTGCTCACCTAGGCTGATATCTTCTTTTCTTGAACTTATTCATCTCAACTGAGGTCATGTCTTCTTGCATCTGCTCACCTAGGCCGAGGTCGTTTATCTAGGATCTGCTCACCTAGGTGGAGCTCTTTTCTTTTCAGACCTACTAATGTAGGTTGAGCTTGTTCATTATCTAGGCCAAACATTTGCCTTCTTGGGTCACACATCTCTTTAGGTAACTCGATTCATCCATACTTAAAGGTCGTCTTTGTTGTAGTAATCTCCTTGGGAGAGTTCATGCTCCTATCTTCACGTCTATACCTTTTGGAAAGGCTTCATTGTTCACTATTGAAAGGTCTTCATTGTTCACCGTGTTCTCCACACCATTATTCTCTTGTTGTTTTTTCTCATTATGTTCCTTGTTATGAGCATGTTTTGGATTCTCACTCACCATATCATCGCCTTCATAACCGTTTCACTTGTGATGTTCCATTTATTTCAACTTCATTCCCACGGATGGCACCACATTTTTGGTGTTAAAATTTGACCTTACAACCAATCAAATCTCATCGGCAAGATTCAAGGAACAAAACCAAAGTCCACATGGCAAGAATAAAAAAGCCCAACACCTGCATACAAGAAGACAACAAACACTGGTGACTCGTTCATCAGGGGGTATTCCGACAATCAAGTCAGTCAACTTATCTCTCAAAGATAACAACTCAATCATAACCCATGGGGGTGTCTACTATATACAACAGCCTATGCCCTCCTAATTCTAGAAGTCTTACTTTAATAGGACTCTTATCCTTCTCTAGGATAAAACTTATCTTGGACTCATCTATTCTAATTGGATTCGGACACACGTCTAAATATCTCAGATTCTAGTGTGATCACATAACACCTGAGCCAATCACTACTACTCACATGTAACCTCGGCTAACGAACTAGGCCAAATTGAGAACTCAAAAATTACATTCCCCGATAATGAATCTAAATCATACACTATTCTAATTAATTATGAGTAGTTAAAATTATTGCCAACCAAATGTGGTTGCAAATTCTTCTATCTTGTTTTTTTTCCATAGGTTTGACTAGCACAAAACTTGAATTCAAAATTACACATCTACTTGGAGAGGGTAATTTGTGTCATGCAGCCACCAAAATGGGCCGAGCTAAGGTTGCACCAGGCTGAGCTAAACATTGTTGGGCCTTGAGCTAAACGTTTGGAAGGTCGCAAGCTTGGTTACTAGGATTATACTCACTGTGAATATTTTGTGCTTGTACAATTGGCACTGTTTTGTGGGAATTTCATAGAATAAACCTTTTGATCAAGCTTTCTTTCATGATTTTAATTGGAAATAACAAAGATTCCCCACTTTCCATCGTCGATGACCAACAACAGAAGTTAACAGGCGGCGCAAAAAGTTTTCTCCTACCCCTTCCATGACAGAATTGGACCCTTAGAAGAGGAACCCTCACAGGGATGTGCAAGATAAGTACTCTCTGAGGCCCCGATGTTCTCGAAGCCCAGATAGGCAAAGGTGATGAAGAAAGTCTGACACCCAAGGCTTGGAGAACAGAGTTAGGGAGCAAAATGAGATAATAAGGAAGGTGGCGGAGGACACGGACCTTTTGAAGCCCCAAGTGAGAAAAAATGGCGTTGCTGGGGTGGAAACCCATGATGGGCGCACCCAATCTCATCATTCTGGGACCAGAATAGGCATGCTATACTTATACCTTTGGGTAACTGAAGTTACATAATACGCAATTCTTAATCGAGGTCCATAAGATCTTGATCGAATCGTTCTAGGTCTATGTGATTGAGGATGGAGGAGTTTTATTCTCAGGGGATAACTATTGTCTATCGCATACCCATCGGACCTCATCCATCTATTTAGAATTGCCCAGATCAGAAGACTTGCAGACAGTCCTTGACGAGAGGGCTCGGAGGCGAGAAGCTACCCATCAAGCCGTCGACACAACGTGCCAGGCTTGTAGAGGTTGACCCCTAGGATGCATGGCAGCATCGAGGTGGAGATGTCAGTACCACGTGTTGCTTATGACCTAGTGGACAGAGTGCTGGCGAGACTATAGAGTACGCCATTCTTGTCAGAGATTAAGAAAGCGCCATTTCTCGCAGGTTTCAACTAACCAAAGTTTTCTATCTACGATGAAAAATCAGATCATTACACACATCTTCGCCATTTTAGACAAGTCATGGCTATTCACAGAAGGAATAATGCCTTGATGTGCATCTTGTCTCCGTCAAGCCTAGGAGATTTAGTCTTGACATGGTTCTAGAAGTCGCCAGAACGCAACATTGCTTCTTGGGCATAGCTTGTAGAGGTGTTTGTTACCAGATTCATAAAAAATAGCAAGACGCTCAATGAAGTTGACCGCTTGCTGGCCATTGACATGGGTGAGAAAGAGTCTTTGAATTCATTCAATGACAGGTATTGAGAGGCATTCAATGATATTGGCGAATGTCCTTCTAACATTGCTATTGCTCAATACAGGCACAATTTCCCAGTCGTGCATAGATTGAGAGACTCACTAACCATGGTACCCCCATTGACCATGGAGGCTCTGATAGAAAGGGTCAACCAGTAAATTAGAGTGGAGGAAGATGCTGCCCAGGCAAAGGCAAGACCAAGAATGGTTTTGGCGAAAAAAAGGTTACTGCCAAAGTCAATATGGATGGTAAGAATAGTAAGCAAGGTAGTAATTGCAATAAGAACCGTAATAACAAGCAAAAGCGAAGAAATTGAAAGTTCACACTGCCATCACTACTATATTTATTTACCGTGTCCTCAGGGAGATACGAAATGAGCCATATGATAGATGGCTAGCCAAATTAGAAGAAGCATAGAGAGGTTATAACAAAATTACCGATGCACTTATCATAATGAAATAGGGTACAAGACTAAGGATTATGTGTCATTCAAACAACACTTAGATCATTACTTCGAAGGTGGAAAGAAGGTAGCCCCTCAAATCAAGACATGTCGAATGGACTGCCCCTAGATGCCCCTTATTAGGGACTCATCAATGTGATCTATAGGATCATTGAGCCTTAGCAAGTTTGCAAGTTAGAGGCATGATAAAGAAGATTGAACACATGAGAGAAGTTCTCAGTGTCCAGCCAACTTTCAAAAGGGGAAAGGCGAAAGAAAAGAATGGGATCTCCTTCTCTGATAGGGATTTGGCAAGACTCCAGAATACCTACAACGATGCACTAGTGATAACTTTGCATGTCAAAGACTTCAACATCAAGAGGATCTTGATCGACCAAAGTAGCTCATTCGAGATTATGTACTATGATGCTTTCAAGCAACTCAAGCTGATGACAAAGACCTTCCACCTGCTACGTCTACTTTGGTCAGCTTCAATTCAATGCTAGAATGGCTGATAGGTAAGATTATACTACATATCAAAGCGAGTATATTAGTCAAACAAGTGGAGTTTTGGGTTTTGAAAGTCTCATCCACTTACAATCTTATTCTGGGAAGAGCATGGTTACATGTCATGTGAGCTGTAGCTTCAACATATCATCAAGTGGTTCGATTTCCCAATGCACAAGGAGTGATTGAAGAAGTATTAGAAGACCAGATCATGTCCAAACAATGCTTTGTCACTGTGAATGGCAACCAGGCTACCAAGGGATTTGTTCATGATAGAAGAACTAGAGGACATAGAGATGTTTGAAAATGTTGGCAAGGAGGGCGGACAAAAGGCAGTAGAAGGGCTTGTGGAAGTAGGAGTTGATGAGAATGACCTAGAAAAGTTCTTTTTGCATGGTTCATCGATGTCAAGCAGCGAAATGAATGAGATCATTGAGTTTCTTATCTCTAGCATTGAACTGTTTTCTTGGATGTCATACAACGTGCCTGGCATTGATCCAAAGTTTATTTGCCATCACATGCCAGACCGATCATACAGAGAACTCACAGGTCGGCTATGTACCATGCGAAAGTTGTGACCGAGGAACTGGGGAACTTGTTGGAAGCAGGGGCAATCACAAAAAATTCCATTACCCAAAGTGGATCTCAAATGCTATTGTTGTGCCGGACAAAAATGGTAGGTAGTGTGTTTGCGTCAATTATAACATAGTCAACAAAGTGTGCCCAAATGATAACTTTCCTTTGCCGATGATTGATTAGTTGGTGGATTCAACAGCAAGGCACAATCAGCTTAACTTTCTAGATACATATTGTGGATATCATCAGATCGTTATTTATGAGCCTAACCAAGAGACCACTACCTTTATAACTCCAAGGGGGTTTTACTGTTATAAGGTCATGCCTCTTGGCCTAAAGAATGCAGGGCAACATTTCAATGGATGGTTACCAAATGTTTGGTCTATTGCTCAGCAAAACAATGGTGGCATACATTGATGATATGGTGATCAGGAGCAAAAATATGTTTGAATGCATCCATGTGTCCATTCGGTGTGGGATTAGGGAAATTTCTGGGCTTTTTGGTGAGTAACCGTGGAATAGAAGCAGATCTTTCACAAATTAAGGCAATTCAAGAGTTGGAGAGACCAAGTACTCCCAAAGAAGTGCAACATCTAGCAGGATTGGCAGTTGAACTACACAAATTTATCAGCCAGTCTTCAAATCATTGCAGGCCATTCTTCTAAGCATTAAAGTCTAAGCTTAGCTAGGATGAAGAGTGTGACCGCACTCTAGAGGAATTGAAACAGTACCTATCTTCTCCACTACTCTTCATGACCTCAATTCCTGGAGAAGAACTATATCTATACCTAGCAGTTTCTTAGTATGTTGTTAGCTCTGGGCTTGTGCGCGCAAAAGGAATACAACATCTACCAATTTTTTATGTGAGCAAAACCATGCTTGGCCATTTGAGAAGCTTGCCTTAGCTTTGATAATGGCATCTAGAAATTTGGCCACTACTTTCACGCACATACAATTATGATGCTAACAAAGTTCCCTCTGAAGGCTCTGTTCGAAAGGGCAGATTTTTTTGGGAGAATTTGGAAGTGGGCAGTGGAGTAAGGACAATTTGATGTCAAGTTCCAACCTAGAACCACGATAAAAGTGCAAGCCTTGACAGACTTCGTTGTTGAATTCTCGCCAGGAATCCATTATGTTTGCTTAGTTGACCTGACCGATGAAACCGAGCAAGGAGAAGTAGGCATTGCGGAAGTTGCATACCCTACAATAACCTTGCAACAAGTTGAACTTTATTCTCTAACAGTGGCAGTACTAGCTTCATCTACTGACCCAACGATGCATTATAGGGGTGAAGTTGTAATCCAAGCAACAAAGGAGAGAACTTGCAATGAAGAGCCTAAAAAAGATATAACGGGCTAATCGAGCTCTAAAATCACCAAACAAACATGAGGAATTTCAGCACAAATAGTTGACGACACAGTTCAAGAAATAATAGTCATCCATGACCTAAGGAAGTCATCAGAACGATCTAAATGTCAGTAGTTCTTTATTGGGGAGATGTGGAAATTATTCATTGACGGAGCTTGTAACAGACATGGAGCAGAGCTAGGAGTCGTCCTTATCTCGCTAGATAGTTTGATAGTTGAGCAAGCAATCAGATTAGGGTTTTCAATATCTAATAATGAAGTGGAGTACAGAGCGTTTTTAGTAGGTCTGAAATCCACACTCCACATGAAGGCTACCAAGCTAATGGTATACAGTGACTTCTAATTGGTAGTAAACCAAATCTCTAGAGAATATGAAGCAAAGGATAGCTGAATGGCTAAGTACCAAATGTTGGTTAGAGAAGAAATCAAGAAGTTTTTGGTAATTAAGGTAGAACAGATTGGAAGGTGTAGCTTGCTTTTCGTCCTCCTTTCGGATACGATTAGCCCTATAGTTCGGACTCTTGTGGTTCTGAATCTGATTTCACAAGTGCAATGTGAAATAGATAAACACAAACGAGTCCAAGTCAGCTAAAAGTTTTTGGAAAATTTAGGAAACCCGTGACTCGTGCCAAAGGCCACGTTTCCATCATCACCAAAGTGTCTCGGCTCGGGAACTTAGGTAGGAGAGGGGAAGGTCATGAATTGAGCACCCCACTTGCCCAATCAGAGATCGGCCTATACAAATCATGATGTGATTCTTATTTACATTACAAGCTCTTGTTGTGATTTATTAGGCTATTCTTACTATGTAATGCACAAAAGTATAGACTAATTTGCAAAAAATAGAACACTTCGATTTTGTGTTTGTTTTGGATAGTGTTTGAATATGTACCACTTAAAAAAGTGATATCATATATACAGTAATCAAATTATCCTAATTTGAGCAATTAGCCGTCATCCACAGGCATTCAAACAGATATCTCACTAAAGCACTTAGCCTCATGGTATCATGCTTGACGTGGCAAAACTAACACTCATGCAATACGCTAAAGCAATAAATGCTCACCTAGTACTCAACCGAGACAAGCCAAAAGAAATAGAATAGTTAGAAAAAATCTACGATCCTAATGATGCAAAATGACTATTGCAACACATGCAAAAATGCAACTAATAGGTTCGGTTGTCTAATATGTCATGTGAATCACTTTGATAACATGCTGTGGCGCACGTATTCAAGGAAGTAATAAATGAAAATGTCGTTAGAATAATGAACCGAAACTTATGCATGCAAGACAAATGGATGTGAAAATGCTAAGTAAAAATGATGTTCTATACTATTCATCAGAAGTACGTAAATAAAAGGGAGAAAGAAATGGGGATTGGAAGACATACACATTATTACATTTTTGCCCTTGCACAAGAGGGCTCGAATAAATGTCTTAGCTAATTACAACAAATTACCTAGCTATTACAAACCAAATGAAATAAATTAACTACACTAGCTAATTATTTCAAATTAAGATAACTAGCTATTTACAAATAACTGATTATTAAATCACAATTTTGCTAGCTGTTAGAATTAAGCATAATACGAAACTAAGTTAATTAACTATCATGGGCCCCGAGAAACAACGGAAGACTTATGCATGCGCATGGATTTCCACCTGAAAATGCTCTCTGTTCTGCTGCCAGAATGCTTTTGTTGCGCAGTCAAAAAATTGCATTGATTTTCAACTCAGCCTCTGCTCTGTTCAGCCGGAAAAATAACAGTGCTTGGCTAAAAAAGGTGGCCGGCCAGCCACAAGAAGTGGTTGGCCGTACAGTAAAGGTGGCCGTTGGCCACTAATGTTTGGTATTGCCCTGCTACAACAGACATGAAATAGAGCACAAATAGAGAATTTTTTTATAGATGTTTGTCCATCCTGCCTCTCCTTATCATTAAATAGGTCAAAGGAAGGGTAGACTCGATTCGCAAACCATTAACCGATGCAAATTCATTGCATGATAACTTATGAATCAAGGGACAAAAGCTTAATTAATGATGCTAAAAAGACCAACAAAACCCTCTCCATATCATGATATTGATCAAGGGAAGTGGTTGACTTGATATTTTGAACCATTGTCACCACAAGGGAGTATGAAATGGCTCAAAACTCAACGAGTTCAATTAACGTCCGATTAAACCCCAAACTATTTTATTATCTTGTTATGTCTTAGTTCAATTTTAGCACCTCTCTTAATTACCTTGTAATTCATTAGTCATTTTAGTCCAATAATGAAGATTAAGTCCACCAATGGAGAGAAGTGTTAAAGAAAGGGTTGTTTTGGGCAAGAGAGAGATGTCATGCCTTTGGTAATGAACCTTCAAAGAGATTAAGCCATTAAGCACAAGGATCACTATCTCAAGCTTAAACAATGACCACTTGAAACAAATTTTAAAGCAAAGAAAAAACCAAGAAAAGATGGAGGTAGCAGAGGTGACTAGAGGTGAACACAAGTATATAAAGCACTAAATAAATGCTGCCAACTCAAATGGGTTGGTGTCTAATGCCTAAAACACCAAACCTATGAGGACCATTACACTGCAAGCATGCCATATGATGCATAAATGAAACTAACACATAAAAATAGTCCTAAAACAATAAAAAATAGTGCTGGAATTAACACGGAAAAGCTTAAAAAAGTAAGCAACACTATTGAGGAAATAGAACTAGCAAACAAGCACAAGGATGGGAGGCTAGTCCCTCCATTTTTGGGACCACAAAATCACATTTCTAGCCTCTCAAAACCTCTGAAATTGAGTGGTAAAAAGCTCAAAAAAAGTTGATGGAAAGGGGCAAGAACTTAGAATACAAGGTACAAAGAAGGATGGTCCACCCCTCTACTTTGGTTAGCTTTTAACCACAAGTTTCAGTCCACAAAAATAGGTGAGAATGATCCAAAAATAGCAAGTAAAGATGGTTATGGGAGCCGAATAATATGATTACGTAGGGAAGCCGATTTAGTTTAAAGAAAGAAATCAAGTTATGTACTATACGGCTCTATCCTGGAGGGACAGAGGCCGAATAACCAGATCGGCCGTAGAATCTACTGTGAACTGGGCCGAGTACAAATAGGTAAGAAAAAATAGCTGAACAAGCAATTATTCGTTGGTTGAAAGGTGGCCCAACCATCAATATCAAGGACGACTATAAATAAGAGGAGCATCAGCTAAGAAAAAGTAAGTGAGAACAAATAAGATTAACTTGAGATACAAGCAACAAAGAGAGTATACACTGACTTATCCGTTGGAGTGCTAATTCTGGCACCCTCGACCGAAGTGTTCATTCTTTTTCAGGTGACTAGCTGAGGATCAAGATCATCCTACAGGATCCAGAGAGTATTTCCAAACCATATCCCCACAATTGGCGCTGTCTGTGGGAATACTCTAACACATCCATGGCGGGCATGACAGAAGATCCTCCGGTAATCGCTGACGACCTTACGCCATGAGATGATACCACTCCAAGAAACATGTTTAGGCCAGAGAACATTGCTGTATGAAGGGCCTTAAACTTCGACTTAGTTGCCCAGACCTCACCCTCGACATCAGCACATGAGACAATGTGAGCGATTATGGATCAGGCGAAGCAAAATAAACAGAGGTTGGAAAACACGATGGCGAAGAACGAGCGCTTTCGACAGGATTTGGCCCTAGAGGTGGCAAAATCCCAATAGGCCGCACGCCAAGATCCAAGACGACCACTGGGAAAGGATGGTTGACAACCTCGAATTTGGAGACATGAAAGTGGTAGTGATTCCGACTCATCATCCCCAGAATCCAAAAAGAAGGACGAGTCGAAGTCTCCAGTTCTTCCGGAGAAAGTCCACATGCGCAAAATAAGCGAAGAAGAAATGATTCAGACGAAGAGGATCAACATAACCCTTTTATGCGACGTATCGCAAGGGCAGTGCTACCCAAAAGTTCAAAGCTCCATCGTTCACCCTATACGATGGAAAATCGGACCCCACTGATCACATTCGTCATTATAAGCAAGCCATAACGCTTCATGCAGACGACGAGGCCCTCATGTGTCGAATATTTCCGAGTAGTTTGGGACCATTGCCCGTCAGATGGTATTATAAATTGGAACCGGCATCGATTAAGAGCTTCCATCAACTCCAAAAATCCTTTAGGGCATGGTTCATCACCAATGAGGTCCAGTCAAAGCAAGCCGATTCTCTCTGGGCAATGCAAATTCAACCAAGAGAAACCCTTCGTGCATATTCGCCGCGTTATTGGGAATGCTTTAATCTAGTAGATGATGCCTACAATGACTCCATGGCCATCACATCCTTTAAGATGGGATTGCATCCTGATAGTGCCCTCCGCAATTCCTTGACCAGAAGGCCCCCCAAAATAGTCTTGTTGTTAACGAAGAAAGTCGAGGAATACTGCAAAGTGGAAGATAATGCCCTGCGGGTCAAAGCCAAGCACAAGGCCAACAAGGCGGCCCCATTTGAAATTGTTCAGTCGATAAACTCTGTACCATCACGGAGCCCTAAACCATAGAATTGGGCTAAACAAGACAAAAGACGAGATTTGCGCCGATCAAATAACCAATGTTCACACCGAGCGAATGAACAACTTTAAGTGGATAACAGGCGCATAAGGCACGCGGACAAGAAATATACGGAGTTATTGGAGCCGATCAGTGTGGTTATGTCTAAAGTTCAACACCTTTTGTTCTTTAAATGGCCATCCAAGATGGTGGGACCTCCCGATACGAGGAGACGGGATAGGCAGTGTGAATATCACAAAGACCACGGTCATGATACCGACAATTGTTATGCGTTGAAGGACCACCTTGAGCAGTTGGTACAAGATGGTTGGCTTATGCAACATGTCGAAAAGAACAACTCAACAAAAACAGTAGCTTTACGGCAGGATTCACCTCCACTCAGCGTAGTCTATATGATATACAACTTGCCGACGGCATCCGTGGTACATACAATTCAGTCGTATCCTAACCCCCAAAAGTAAATCACACTAGTGAAACAGCCCCATGAAGCTATGACTATTACTTTCGATGATTCTAATTTGGTCAGCGTAACGCTCCCACACATTGACCCCTTAGTCATCGAACTACGTATAAATCGATTCACCCTTGAACGTGTTCTCGTTGACCAGGGAAGTACCTCGGAAGTTATGTACTACAAGACCTTCGTTAAACTCGGCTTCACAAAGTCGGACCTGTCTCTAGCTCATTATTCGTTATTCGACTTCAATGCTAATCCAGAATATCCTTTGGGCAAAATCACATTACCATTTCGGGCGGGCTCCCGATCAGTGGGTGTAAAATTTTTGGTTCTCAAGCTTCCTTCGCCGTATAATCTCATCATGGAATGAACATGGTTGTATACCATGCAGGCCGTGCCAAGCACCTATCATCAACTACTTCGATTTCCGACTGAACGAGGCATAGAGCAAATTCGAGGTTTCCAGAAATAAGCGCAAGGATGTTATCTTCTTGCTACAAAGACACCAAGAGAGCTGGAAATGAATTCAATTGAGGTGCCAGATCGGGAGAACCTTGATGACGTTGGGCAGCTCCCAAGTGAAAAGGCAACCGGAGCCTTGGATTAGGTTGAAATTGACGGGAATCCTGACAAGTTCTTCATGGTCAGCACTTCCCTGAATAAAATTGACAGTCAAGAGCTAATTTCCTTCTTACTTGGCAACCCTGATGTATTTGCATGGTCACCATATGAGATGTCCGGGGTGGATCCATCTGTGTCCCAGTACCGCTTAAACGTTGATCCCAAATGTAAGTCGATTATTCAGAAAAGCTGGCAGTCAGCCATGGAACACACTGCTGCTGTTGTTGAAGAAGTTGATCGGTTCCTTGATGCTGGGACAATCCGCGAAGTGACCTATCCTACATGGTTGTCGAATACTATAGTTGTAAAGAAGAAAAAATGGAACTTGGCATTTTTGTGTGGATTTCGCGGACTTCAACAAAGCTTCTCCCAAGGATTGCTTTCCTCTGCCTAGAATAGACCAACTTGTGGATGCAACGGTACATCATCAACGTATGAGCTTCCTGGATGCCTACAGAGGCTACCATCAAATTGCCATGTATCTGGAAGACCAAGAAAAAATGACATTCCTCACCCCAAGAGGAACCTATTGCTATAAGGTTATGCCTTTCAGGCTGAAGAATGTGGGGGCAACCTACCAATGACTAGTAACTGCCATGTTCAAGGAGCTACTCGGTCGTACCATGGAACTATACATCGACGATATAGTGGTCAAGTCGAAAGAAAAGCAAACTTATTTAGCCGATCTGGAGGAGACATTTGGCATTCTTTGCAAATATAAAATGAAGCTGAACGCTTCCAAATGTGCATTTGGCATCGGATCCGGCAAATTCCTGGGCAACATTGTTAACCACCGCGGAATCGAAGCCAACCCGAGGCAAATCACTGCAATTCTAGAACTTGGCTCTCATCGATTGGTCAAGGAGGTTCAGAAGCTTATGGGAATGGCTGCCGCATTTAACAGGTTCATCTGTCGTTCCACAGATCGCTATCTACAATTCTTTCATACCCTTCGGCAGGGTAAAGCTTTTGAGTGGACCCCTGAGTGCGAAGCCACTTTGGTCGGTTTGAAGACTTACCTCCGATCAGTTCTACTCTTGACAACACCTTCGGCAGGTGATCCGCTCATTTTTTATTTGACAGTTTTCGACTGGGCGGTCAGCGCCGTACTGTTAAAGGAAGAACTAGGGGAGCAGCGGCCAGTTTATTATGTGAGCAAAGCAATGGTTGATGCCAAAACACATTACCTTTCGTAGGAAAAACTCATCCTTGCTCTCGTCATGGCAGCAAGAAAACTGATGCATTACTTTCAGGGTCATACCATTGGGGTACTAACGGACTACCCTCTTCGGTCAGTACTCCGTAGTGCGGAAGCATTAGGGCGCGTTTCAAAATGGGCTCTTGAACTCGGCTAGTACGATATCCAATTTCTACCCAGAACCTCAATCAAAGGGCAAGTGCTTGCCGACTTTGTGGCCGAATTCACTAGGTGTCTTGCTGACTTTAAGTCTGATCAAATTCAACCTAAACCGAACTGGAGAATTTACGTTGGGGACATTTGGCAGTTGTATTGTGATGGGGTCATCCAACCGGCATAGCAGTGGGGCGGGCGTAGTGATCATGGCTCTTGACGGGGCAATAATCAAACAGGCTATCAAACTTGGCTTCGAAGCATCGAACAATGAGGTCGAATACGAAGCATTGTTAGCCGGCTTACGGAATGCACTTCTCCTTAGTGCTCGGCGTCTACTTATCTTCTGCGACTCAAAACTAGTCATCAACCAATTGAAGGAGGAATACGCAGGCAAAAATAACCGTATGGCAGCCTACATAAAAATGGCGAATTCTTTGCTGGCAAAATTCAAAAATCACAAATTGAATCAAATAACCTAGGATCAGAACACACATGCAGATGCCCTGGCTTGCCTAGCCTCCGCCATCAACTCAGAAATCAAACGGACAATTGAAGTAGGATTCATCCTCAAGCTGAGCATTGCCCCTTCGGAGTCAATTCAATATCATAGAATCAGGTCAAAGTTAGATGGACCCTATCACTACATTCCTATCTTCTGAACAGCTCCCGACGGACAAGAAAGTAGCGCACAAACTGCGAAGCAAAGCCTTGCGATATTACTTGGATCTGCAAGGAAAGTTCTACAGAAATTCCCTTTCTGGTCCATACCTAGAATGTGTTCATCCAGATAAAGTTGAGAAACTCTTTAGTGAAATACATGAAGGTAGTTGTGGTGCCTATTCTGGCGGGCGTTCTTTGGCCCATCGAGCTGTAACACAGGGGTACTATTGGCTGACCATGAGAGCTGATGCCGATGGTAATGTGAATAGTGCTAGAAGTTTTCCCCTTTCACTCATTTGCCGACTGAGGAGTTAAGCTCTATCACCAGTCCTTGGCCGTCTATCACTAGTCCTTGGTCGTTCGCTCAATGAGGACTTGATATCGTCGGACCATTGCCGTGGGCCCCAGGGAACAAGCGATTCTTGATTGTCACGACAGATTACTTCACAAAATGGGTTGAAGCGGAGAGACTAACGCACATTCGAGATACTGATGTTAGGCATTTTGTATGAAAAAAATATCATAACACGATTTGGCATTCCAAGAGCACTCATTTCTGACAATGGCACCCAATTTGATTGTGGCGTCTACCGAGAATTATGCAGCACATATGGTATTCGGCCCTATTTCTCCACCCCGGTTTATCCACAGAGCAATGGTCAAGCTAAAGCCTCCAACAAAGCCATCTTGGATGGCATCAAGAAACGGATGGAAAAAGCTAAAGGCACGTGGGTTGAAGAGCTCTCCAGTCTGTTGTGGGCTTATCGCACTACACCATGGCGGTCCACTGGGGAAACGCCGTTCGCCCTATGCTTTGGAACCCAGGCAATTATCCCCCTGGAGATTGGCTTACCGACTCCGAAGACGAAGGTCTTCGACTTGGACGGTAGTGCCATGATGTTAGCATTGGATTTGACTCTGATCGAGGAACGCTGAGACCGTGCCCTCGCATCTATGGTGCGGTATCAATAGCAGCTCGCTAAATCATATAATCAATGTGTGCAGCTGCAACGTTATCTGCCCAGAGAACTGGTCCTCCAGAAAGTTCTTCTCGCTACTAGGAGCCCCGCTAATGGAAAGGTAGGTCCCAATTGGGACTGCCCCTATCAGGTAGAATCAATCGCCGGCACAGGGGCATATCGGCTCAAAGACATGTCTGGAAGAAATCTGTCACGTCCTTGGAATTCCACACATTTTCATAAATTTTATCATTAACCCGACTTGTGGGGCATGATAACTTGTTTTGAATATTCGCCGTTGTAGACACCCCATTTTTGACCGTCCTCAAGACTTGGACGTCATCATTTGAACACTCGATGATCATCCATGTTCGTGTTCGTTTTGAGTTCCCGGAGGTCTCGGCAGCGCGCCTTGCCTCAAGATCTCTCAACTTGTTTGTTTTGTGCTTGGTTGAGGACCAAGCACTTGTGTTTTTGCTTCTGAGGGAAGAGGGTGGCTTGTTGGCCATCCCCTCAACCCATCGGCCAAGGCATGAAGCTATCGGCCTTGTTTTCTTGTCATCGGCCAAAAGCGTTGCCGATCGACACTTTTTTTGGTCAGTTGACCCTTATGTTGGTCGATCGGCCGTATTTTCTGGCCGAACCCTGTTCATCTACTTTTTGCCAATATTTTGTGCCAGCTGTCACAGCTAGCATGCACAATTCAAGCCCTCCATACACGTGTATGGAGGGATTTGCCACTTTGGCTTAGCTTCTCCAAGAAGCTTTGGAATTGAATTCTATAAGAAGGGAGCCACTCCTCCCTTCTCAGAGGTTGAGAAAATTTAGGGTTGAGTGATACATATAGTTTTGTATCTATATTCTCTTGTTTGTTCTTATTTTGTGTTCAGAAGTGTCATTCTGTCTTACTATTGTACACAAACACACACTAGAACACCATCCTCTTGGAGCTGAGGTCCCTTGAGGTTGATTTTAGTGTTCTTGAGCTGGTTTTAGTCAGAGAAAGCTGCTGGAGCTTTGTTCTTGAAGAGTTTCTACAAGGGTGAGCAACTAACCTTTAGATACCCCATTTTGGCTCAAGCTTTTAGCCCTTCTTTCTTATTGTTTTAAGCTTAACTCTTAACTGATAAAAGTTCTAATTTTTGATGCTTTAGATCTTTGTTTAAGATCACTTTTTGGTTTGGGGTTGTTTACCCCCTCTTAGGCCTTGTTAGGCCTTGTTTGGAGCCATCCCTTTTGGCCTTTGTTCTTGTCTTTGGATGACCTTTCTACCATTGAAATCCAGAGGATTTTTAGTGGTGGAAAGGTGGTCTTGGAGTCCTAAATAGGAGAGGGTCATCCCCTCTCCTTGCTGTCTTTTATGCTAGTATAAATGACTTATATTGGTAGTATGTTTGCTTAGCATGTTTTAGCTCTATTTCAGCAAATATTTGGTGTTATTTCGTCATGCTATACCTTTGTTTTGAGTTGGTTTAATGGCCTCTTACATGCTTCATGTACTTGCCTTGCAATCCTCTCATTTGCCTTAACATGCATCTTGTGTTTAGACCATCATGCTTGCATATTTTGGCTTAACTTTAAGAAGCTTTTAGCCTTGTTTTACCATGCTTAAGCACTATTTTCTGTTGTTTTGATCATATATGCCATGCTTTGTATAGCCATGGTTAGACCTAGCTTGTTAGCTTTGAGTGTCCAAGTCACTAGCATAATTTATTTGGACTATTATCATGATTTGGCATCATTTGAAATGTTATTTCAGTCCATATTTCGTGCTCATATACTTGCACTTATCACTCCTTTAATACTTTAAAGAGTTGATGTCTTATGCCTCATGAATGGACCATTGTGTATGCCTCCATGCTTAGGTCTTTGGGATGCCATCTAAGTGGGTTTTGGGGCTTATTTTGATATGCCATAACTCTGATTTTATTGGTTTAAGTCATGCCATGTTTGGTTTTGATAGGTGTAGTGTAACACCCTTTTGTAGACTTGCATGCCTCATGCTTTTGGCGTTGTGTTCTAGCTTGTGTTGGCTAGCTTTGAGCATGTTTTTGGTCTTGTATTGACCTACCTTGGGACTGTTTTGAGTGCCTTTGGCCCTTTGGGGCTTGCCTTGCATGGCCATGGTTTGAGTCCTTTGGCTAGCCTTGAGCTTTAGGCTTTCTTACATGCCATACGTGCTTTGTTTGGTAGGTTTGGCACCTTTCCATGCATGATTTTAGAGGTTATAGTGTTTTTCACATGTTCATATTTGTCCCCTTTTAAGTGCTCTTGAAAGTTGCCCTCCTATGCCTAGGTGTTGGACCATTTACATGTGCATGTTTGCTTTGCATTTTCATGCTTCCAATTCATGACTTTGGCCACTGATTTCGGGCATGGCTAAGGCATGTCCATTTTTAGTTTAACTCCATTTACCATGCT